AAAAATTCGTACCATGTCCTAAGAACTTAGAACAAAGGTGTGAGAAGGCGAAGAGTGGAGGAGTAAAAATTATATTTTCACTTTAAAATAACATTTATGTTGAGTTACTTACTATTTATGAGTTGATTTTTGTTAAATTGGATAATGGAGTTCTTGTAAGCATGAAGATCAGAAGACTGTGGGAACCAGCAGTTAGCGTAATGGCTATGTCGCTGGATTCCCACGTAATCGACCGCGGTTCGTGTCCCGGACCCGGTGGCTTAAAACTCACGCCAGGCGCGTGTGCGTGCGTGCCCAAGATCCTGAGAGGAGAATGGAGGAGAAGGGATTGCGGCGTGACCATCCCCCCTGGGGGGTGATTTCTCGCTTTCTGTCTCTATGTCTCTCTCTGTCTGTCTGGCGAGCGCACACGCCCTACAGTGAAAATTTCTCCAAAAAAAAAAAAAAAAAAGGAAGACTGTGAGAAATAAGAAAATAATTCTTCTCCAACTGAATTTGTATAAATGTTTTTTTCTCCTAAAATAGTAACACCCACCTTAGAAATACCTCAGAGATTTTGGTGGCTATATTTTCTATCTTCTGCACAAGCGGCCTCAGGCTTTTTTTCTCCCCTTTCTGAAGAATTACAGAATGGAGGTTTTGGAGGGGGTATGGGGAAATAACATAGTTGTTGTCCCCCAAGCAGTAATTGTTTTTATATGTTTTCATGTAGTCATTACAGCCAGTAGGTATTTCTCACATTGTCTGAGGAGGGGAAACTAAGGCTCTGAGGGTTGAAATAGCTTGTGAAAGTTACAATGGTTACTTTGGGCCAGCTAGGAGGCATGGTGGTTAAGGCGATGGGTCCCACATGGCCAACTCCATGGTTAGAGTCCTGGACCCAGCAGCATAAAAAGACATGCCAGGCACATGTGTGTGCACGCCCAAAGTCCTGAGGGGAGAATGGAGAACAAGGGATTGCGGTGTGGCCATCCCCCTCAGGGGTGATTTCTCTGCCTCTCCCTCTCTCTCTCTCTCTCGCTCTCTCTCTCTACCGCCCCCCAGTTTGTGCATGCACGCTATAGTAAACTCAAACAAAAAGAAAGAAAGAAAAGAAAAGAAAAAAGGACAAGTTACTTTGTGGTCCAGTCAAGTATTCACACAAGGATCATCTGATTTCAAAGCCCCAGCACTAGTGAAATTCCTCTCAGAACAGTTCTTTTAGAGAATAAAGGCAATGCTTCCAGCAAGACCACATGGCAGGAAGACACATGTTTTTTCTCTTGTCTCAGGCTAGTATGTCTTTGCTCAGTGTTGACACCGAGTGGGTAAGCCTTTGGGACTACCTCCAGCGCACGTGGAACTCCTACAGGGCAGTGTGCACTCCAGGCACAGTCGCGGGCTCCACCCGGAGCTCTCCTGCAGATGCACTTGGGGAATAAGCAGTGAGATGCCCAAAGGTCTCATCACACTGTCGTTTTTAAAAGCTACAAGTAGAGAACAATCTAAACGTTCCACAACTGGAGAACGATCACATAAATTAAGAACAGCCACATAATGAAATATCACTCCCATTAAAGCTCATATTTTCCAAGATGATTAAATTCAATACATGCTCCTATATTATTCCTGGATGCTGGAAGACTCAAAACAGCTATAAAGAACACTAGAAGGGTAAGTGGGGAATTTCCAATAGGGACAATGTATTAGATATCATTGTATCACTTATTGAATATGAATTTTTGTTTATACTAATATAATTTTAATGTGTACTAATTCTTAGAAGACAAATGCTTATATATTTAGAGATTTAAAAAGACTCTTATTTAGGGACCAGCAGTTGGCGTAATGGCTATGTCGCTGGACTCCCATGTAGTCGACCGCAGTTTGTGTCCCAGATCCGGTGGCTTAAACTCACGCCGGGCGCATGTGCGTGCGTGCCCAGGATCCCGAGAGGAGAATGGAGGAGAAGGGATTGCGGAGTGGCCATCCCATCTAGGGGGTGTTTCTCGCTTTCTGTCTCTCTGTCTCTCTCTGTCTGTCAGGCAAGGGCACGCACCCTGTAGCAAAAACCTCTCAAAAAAAAAAACTCTTATTTTTCAAGAAATATCTAATAATTCCAAGGAAGTTGATTATGAAATTAAGGTAATAACAATTTGCATTTTGTTTAAAATATACATCTACATACATAAAAGCCAAAAGACTAGAAAGCTATGCATTAAATATTGGTTACCTTCATGCAGTAAAATTACTTGTAAATCAGCATTTTCACATTTTCCTAATGTGATCAGCTGTTCTGTTCCCAGCCCTACAAGGTACAGGCATAGGGAGAAATCCAGAAATATAAAAGAGTAGTTTGGGCACACTGGAGTTAAATGAGTGTTAAGAGGGTCTTGTGGGCCGACAAGTGGCATGGTGGTTAAAGGCATTGGACTCCCACATGGCTGACCATGGTTCAAGTCTCAGACCTGGTGGCTTGCTTTCTCACTTTCTCTCTCTCTCTTCTCTCTCTCTCTGTCTCTCTCTGATCAAACTGGAAAATAATAATGATAATAATAATAAATAAAGTTAAATTTAAAACATTTTTAAAAAGAGGGCCTTGTATCCAAGCTCGGAGGCCTTGTATCCAAGGTCTGATAAGGTAATAGGCGGGACTTCTGTCTCTGTGGGGGTAGGGAACACCGAGCAGGAAGGAAGACAAAGATCTTATCTAAAGACTTACGGTGTTTCATTGGTAAATTAGAGTTCAAAACAAGACGCGGACAGTATTTTATTTTCACTCTAAGACAAATCAAGAAAATCAAACAACAATCCAATGTGGAAGATTAGTTACAAGGTCCTCCAGCCTCAGGACTAGACATTTCCCCCTCTTCCAGCTACTTTTGGAGAGAGAGGAAGATGGGTAGGCTCTGGGTCCCATTTCGATAATACCCACTGCACAGAGGCTCTTTGTGAATTGCTATCCCCTAGGGAAATTGTCCACTCAAGAAAAAGGGGAGAAGACAGAAAATTAGAGAGGAACTCAAAGGGGAAGAGAGCAGGTGAGGAGAGATGGCAGACTCCATGTAGGACCCCCTTCATATGTGAGGACTGCTCTCATCCAAGGTCCAAGGGCCCAGGCAGGGAGACCCAGGCCCTTGATCAATACCAGGGAGTGAGTCAGCCAAGCAAGGGAGCATATATCTCAATTTCACATTGAAGTCACATGAAATTCTCTCTTATTCTCGCCACCACATCTATTTGGGTTGGACTTTATATCTAGAAACTTGGAGTGAAAATTTCCTTGCAATTTTTCATGGTCGTTTGTAGAAACTACAGATCGAATCTTCTTTGCATACTTGTGGTAGGCCCAGTGTAGACGATGGCACAGCAAATATTCCCGCTTTAGAGTAGAGGTTGACTTTGCCAGAGGAAAAAAAACGAGCTAGTCTCCTTGAAACTATCAACCCCCAGGCCAGCGAGTGGCGTGGTAGTTAAGGCACTGGACTCCCACATGGCTGACGGCTATTTGCTTCCTGGACATGGTGGCTTGCTTTCTCTCTCTCTATCTCTCTATCTCAGTCTCTCTCTGGTGAGCACAGTGCCCTATAACAAATTTTTTAAATAATAATTAATAAAATAAAATAAATAAACAATTCAGAAAAAAAAATTAAGCCTTTCAGGACAAAGAAGAAAATAAGAAAAAAAAAATCTATCACCTGGATTATACTACAATTAAGTATAATGCACACTAAATTAAAATGTCTTACTTTTGCACTCATATAGCCCCAACAAACATTGTAGGGGTTTTTATTGTAATTAAGGAAAACATATTTAAATTTTTGATGTTTGTTTCTTATGATTTTTAGTGTTTTCAATGGAAGAAATCAAGAAAAAAAAATCTACTTGATAAAATAGCAAGCAAAGAGAGTCACAAACCATCTCAAAAGAACTTGCGGGTTCTCCTCCAAGTCCTTTGCTTTTAATTTTGTGCGATGTCATGGTGAAAATGCAAGTCGTTAACGCAAAGAACAGAAGAGAGTATGTCTGGGGCCCTATACTCCTCCTGGCTCCAAGAGTACAGGATAGAATGTATAAGTTCAAAAGTCAAAGCACATTCAGATCAATGCAAAGGAGGGCCACACATCCGAAAAGAAACCAGTTACTTATGACCTCTTTTTTTGTCCCTGCATGCTGATTAACAAGTTCAATGATCATTTTCGCCTAGCCCAGTCTCTGATCTATAGACAAAAATTGTGATAAACTTCTTTCCTAAAAATCTTAGCAATTACACCGTCAGGCGAGGTCATTAAATCCTTTTGGTTGTCTTGTCTATCAAGGACAACAACTCTTCCGAGGGGCAAGAGGAAGTGAAGGGACACTTCCTGTGATGAGTGACATTCTGCAAAGTGAACAAGGTAGAATTGCAATTTTTTTAAAAATTTTAAAATATGAGGACAGACCACTAAGAATAGGAGCATAAGTGCAGGCCTTCCCAAGAAGCAATCTGAGACCAGCCAAAAGAATCTCTGTTCATATCCACGCCCTTCCTCACTGAGCCTGGAATTGTGAGACAGGACTGCAGTCTTACTTTGGCTTGTCAGGAATGCAAAGCTTTATGTTCATATCAAGTAGTGAAAACACAGAAAATAAGCTCATATAACTCAATGAAGGTACTGGCAGCCACTGCCAGGACACATTTACTGAACAGAGGCTCTACTCTGTCATCTTTCAGCATATGAACAAACAGAAGATTCTGGCCCCTTGAGACTAGGCTAATTTGAATGATATTCACATAAATATTTGCAGCATTCTGAACACACAGTCCATCCTAAGTACAAATATCCTCAGTCTTGTGGGATGGAAAGAAACCAACTTTTCAAAGAAGGCTGAACCTGAATCTCTCCCACCTGGAAAGAACTCATGCACCAGTGTCCACAGGGGTCGGCATAGCCCAGCATGTGAAGGTCTGTACAGCGGACAAGTCAAGCCACACCGTTTGTAACAGTTACATAAGTAAATGCATTTGAAAAATGGTATATATTTATAAACTGGCCTATGACAGGGGGATTCAGGATAACAGGGGATAATTCTATCTCTACTTTGAGTGACTAGCACATACACAGGGCAGTCTAAGAGATTGGGTTAAATACACAAGGTATGTTCAGCTTCCTATTGGTGTGGAAGTTGGTGGTCTCCTTGGGCTGCTCATTGTGGGTTCCAATTAAGAGAAACTCTTGCAAGGATGAGTGTTTTTCTTTCAGATCACCTGAGGGTAAAACTGTCAACACATCAATCGTCTTATTTAAGAGTCATCCATCGGTCTTTAGTCTCATCCTCATAAAGGCTCAGGGGCACGTCCCTCAGGCGTGGCTGTTCAGAGAGCAGACAGTAAGCGGTTCTGTGTTTGTCCCCTCATTGGGCAGGCAAGGGGAAAAGATAGGTCTGAGCGCCTCTTGGAAGGAGGTCGGAGGGAAACTGTAGATGAGGGACTCATCTGTCACATTGTAGAAGGCTATGTGTCCCAATTCATAGTCTAAGAAAACACCAACCTTGTGCACAGGCTCTCTGACATGCTGCCCTTTCAAAGGTGACGAGACCCAAAGACTATAATCATCTCCAATTTTTAAGCCTATAAGTGAGAAGAGGTCCCCCGGCGGCTTTGGGAGGTTCCCCTTCCTGCTCACTGAGTCCTTGCAGATGCCCACCTCCCACTCGGTCTTGTTGCCCACATCCACCTCCCAGTAGTGTCTCCCACCAGTGAAGACCTGAGCACCCAACACAGTTGCAGATAGGTCAAATCTTTCTGGGTTGTCCGGTAACTGCTGTCTGCTTCCTCCATATCTCACACTTTTCAGATCCTCCGACAAGACGAGGTAGGCATTGGCTGTATCTGCATCCAGCGTTATGTCTGCTGCAAGAAGAGAAAACAGGATATCCCAGCGTGGCGTATTTTTAATCTTTTTTTTTTTTTTGAAGTTTTTTTCTTCCTTGAGCAAAGTTGACAGACTCACAGAGACAGAGTGGAAAGCCCTGTTACGGACTGCTTTCTCCTTCTCTCTCTGTCTCTCTCGCAAGCATATGCACCCTCTGGTAAATTAAAACAACAAGCAAAGGACAAGAGCTGAGAACTAATGGAGACCTCTCTTGCTCTTTGTCAGTCTAAATATTTGGAGTTTTCTGACTGTGGGGAGGGGGGGGGGGGAGGGGGGGTAGGATAAAAACAGAGCAATAAAAACTAAAGATGGGATCAGCAGATGGTGTACTGGTTATGTCGTTGGACACCCACATGGCTGACCACAGTACGAGTCTCGGACCTGGAAGCTTGAAATTCACACTAGGCACATGTGCATGCACTCCCAAAATCCCAAGAGAAGGGACTGTTTGTGGTCATTTCCTCTAGGGGATGATTTCTCTCTTTCTGTCTCTCTGTCTCTCTTTCTATGTCTCTCTCTCTCTCTCTCGTTCTCTATAGCAAAAAATCTCTCTCAAATAATAATAATAATAATACAAAGGAAGGACTTAGGCAGAAAATAAAGCTAGACAAAATATCAATCCAGTCTCACAGCGTCTCTCTGCTCAAGCACTCAAGCACAGAGATTGTCTGTGGCCTCAGCTTGCCCTGGTGTTCAGCGCTAGCTCAGGACACCCTAACTGGGAGCTGTGAGCAGATGATGAATAATTTATGTTAGAAGAAGCTGCTCCAAGAAGTTGTTACACATCTCTTAACGTAGACTGAAACTAACTGAAAATCCCCAGGGGCTTGACAATCAGGCTGACTTACTGCTGAATTTTCTTAGCATCTCCCTCATTCCAGTGATGTGGCACAGACTCAGTTCTGTCGTGGTGGCCTCTGGACACTGAAGTAAGAGGGGCTGACTCCTACAGGAAAGAGGAGATACTCATTCTTCTCAGCACAGGCCACATGACCTGCTCCGGCGTGAGAGCCCATCTCCCCCGCCCCAGTAGCACAGACACTCCCATTTTCCCTCACAGGCGACCACAGCAGACACATCCCTGCATCCTACATAATTGAGCACAGAACAAAAACCTACCTCTCCAGGGCTCCTCTCACTTCCTACGGGTAGAAAAGGAAGAAGGTTAGCACTTGTGCACTTTGGTCACTCACAAAGACTGAATCCACTGGGGATATAATTCTTTGCAAAGTTCACAGAATCCACTTTCCATGGTTCTAGCACACCTTGAGTGGGAGTGCAAGAAAAAAATTCTCAATTTTTCTTTTTTGTTTTAAGAATTATTTATTTATGGGACTAGCAGTTAGCATAATGTCTATGTCACTGGACTCCCACATAGTCGACCACGGTTCAAGTCCCGGACCTGGTGGCTTAAACTCACACCAGGCACATGTGCATGCCCAAGATCCTGAGAGGAGAATGGAGAAGGGCCATCCCCCCATGGGGGGTGATTTCTCGCTTTCTGTCTCTCTGTCCCTCTCTCTGTCTCTCTGGTGAGCACACGTGCCCTATAGCAAAAACTTCTAAAAAAAAGAAAAAGAATTATTTATTTATTATTATTATTTTTCAATTTTGACCAGAGAGAGACAGGCAGAGAAAGGGAGAGAGCAAGTCGCCAGGTTCAAGACTTGAACCATGGTCAGCCAGGTGGTAGTTCAGCACCTTTAACCACCATGCCACCTACTAGCACCTAAATCCTCAGTTTCTTCTAGGGGTAGTTTTTTGTGAGCATGAGATGTTTCCCACAATGACTACAAACTACGTTGCTCTTTCCTTTTTCTTATATTGTCACTTTGTCAAGAGAACCTGTGAGTTGGAGTCATACTATTAATCTCATTGTTCACTGTCTCAGAGAATGAGAGATAAGGAATGGAAAACGAATGGCCCAGTGACAGTTTGTCAAAGTTTGGACTCGTTGGACTGGGAGGCATTAAATTACAATGCTGCATTCTGTGGAATAGTCCATAAAATAGACCTGCAGCTGGAGTTTGCTCACACGGCTTATGTTTAAGAAGGTCCAGGAAGACTGGTCCTATAGCTCAACAATTAAGTGCTGTACAGAGAAAGCCAGATTCCACATAGGCAACCAGGGTTCAAATCCTGGATGTGGTGGCTTACATGCCAGGTGCACCCACTTGATCAAGATCCTAATGGGATGGAGCATTGGAGGTAAAAGGATTGTGCATGACCAGGCCCATTGGGGACAGAGAGGGGTGCTTTCTCTCTCTCACTCATGCATACACACCCTCTGGCATAATCATAAAAAATCAAAACTTAAAAAAAAAAAAACAGTCCCAGAAAATGCAGTAGCCTAGGAAGGCAGTACATCAAAGATGATGAGGAATATGAGTTTGGTACACAAAAGATCTGGGTTCTACCACCTCTTAGCTATGTGACAGGAACGTTGTGTCATCACCGTGGGTCTGAATTATTGAAGAAGGGCTACTATAAGCCCATCTCGTAGATTACAGTCACCTGTGGTTCATACCTTAAGATACTTATCTTCCTCAAGTCTCTGAAAAGATTGAATTTTATGTGCCCTACAGAGAGTACAGGTTCACCAACGAACAATAAAATATTTGACAAAGCTAAGAATGCAGAGTGACAGGCCCAAAAAAAAAAAATTGGAGTCATCATCAGCCTTGTGTGAAGTAGATATTCTGGGTTTTATTTTCTCCTTTTTCTTTAAGATTTTAGTGCCCTATAGAATGTCGGTTCTTCAGGAAAACTAATTTAGGGCCAGAAATTAGTTTTTAAGTGGATAAAGTAAAATTAATTTCCTATGGTTTGACATACGACGAGTTACTTTATTTTTTTCATTAATTTTGTGATTTTTTTTCCATGATTTTCATGATTTCATGATTTTGTTTTTGTTTGGTTTGGTTTTGTTTTGTTTCTATAGGGTTCATGTGATTATTGGAAAGAGAGAAAGGAAAACTGAGAATTCACCCCCATGGGGGATGGCCATACCACAATTGCTTCTCCATTTCCCTCTCAGGATTCTGGACACACATGCCTGGTGTGTTTCTCAAGCCATTGGGTCTGGGACTTTAGCTGTGCCGTCAGCCATGTAGGATCTGGCCACATGAACCACCATGCCACAGCTGGTCCACTCTCACAAGTTTCAGTCTCACCTCAAAAGACTCTGAAATGGAGTTCTGACAGGTAGACTCTATCTGCCCGATCATTTTACTCAGGCTTCGGATCTGCTGAGTCAGCTGAGTCTCATTGTCTCTCAGTTTCTTCATGTTCTGTCTTTCCTCCTTGTCCAGTAGTTGCAATTGCAGCTGTTCCTCTTCCTTCAGGAACTGGTGCATTTTCATGTATTCCGACACCACGACCTGCTTACAAGTCTTCGTCTCCTCCTGTCATCACGCACACGATAAAATAACATTAGCCACAGACGTTCCTAATATATGCTTAATCCTTACTAAGTCTCAGAATTCCTCTGTGAAAACTGTTGAAACCTGAAACATAGCACATATACTCTGTCGACTGGCTGGGTGCAGAGTTGGATGTTTGCAGAGGTGTGTGTATGATAGATATGGGAGTGAACGAAACCAAAATGTCTGTCTCTAGGAAACTGTCATTGCAGTGAGAGAAGCCAAAAATAAACCAAACACATCACAGGTGTTATCAGATCATGATAAAAATAAATCAAATAAACTTAAGAGGAAATTTAGAAAATGGGGCCTCAGCATGTGGTACAGTGGTAATAAAGGCACTGGACCTCCACAGGGCCAACCGTGGTTCAAGTCCTGGACCTGGAAGCTTGAAAATCACACCGGGGATGTGTGCATGCCTGCCCAAAATCCCAAGAGGAGAATAGAGGAAAAAAGTGGCAATCCCCTCAGTGGGTGATTTCTCACTTTCCTTTTCTCTGTCTCTCTCTAGTGAATGCACGCACCCTTTGGCAAAATATCTTTTTTAAAAATTAAGAAAATGTGTGTGTGTGTGTGTGTGTTTCTTTTGGAGAGGTTTTAGCTATAAGGCACATGCGCTCACCCAAAAGACAGAGAGTTACATCCGGGGGTGGGGGATGGCCATGCGCCAATCCCTTCTCCATTCTCCTCGGGATCTTGGGCATGCATGCATGTGCACCTGGCATGTGTTTAAGCCACCAGGTCCAGGGCTCGAACCGCGGTTGACTACATAGGAGTCCAGAGACGTAGCCATTATGCCAACTGCTGGTACAAATGTGTGTTTATTCGATACATAGTTATTCAATGACAGTAGTCCTTGGGGCATATATTAGGAATAAAAATATACATTTCCACCCACTTAAGACCTCAACATCTATTGAGAGAATCAGATACACACATTTTTTTGAAATATCCTGAAACATTTAGCTCTTTGCTTTGCGAGACAGCTCAAATCCAGTTCTTTGATTAACACCGAGCACATGTTTAGGCATAATCCAAACTACTAATTTGCCTTTAAATCTCTTTTTTCTTTATTTCTTTTTAATTTTCATTCTCTCTTTTTCCCAAAAACATTTGATATTACCTTTTAAGGTGATTCCTATTCTATATAAACATCTACAGGAATCTCTTGTGTTTTAAATCATTTTAATTTGAACAATAATAGAAATAGAGATGGCCACAGACTTGTTTTGTTTCTTGCAACTTCATTAAGTATCTCTTTAGTCCTTTTAATAGAATCATATACTAGATGGGGCCAGCAGTTAGCGTAATGGCTATGTCACTGGAATCCAATGTAGCCGACCGCGGTTTGTGTCCCGGACCCGGTGGCTTAAAACTCACGCCGGGCGCGTGTGCATGCGTGCCCAAGATCCGGAGAGGAGAGTGGAGGAGAAGGGACTGCAGCGTGGCCATCCCCCCGGGGGGTGATTTCTCTCTTTCTATCTCTCTGTCTCTTTCTGTCTGTCTGGCGAGCGCATGCGTCCTATAGCAGAAACCTCTAAAAATAAATAAATAAAAATAATCATACACAAGATTAAAAGATAAGACATACACTGACCTTACACAGTATTACTCTTTCCTTCTCATGGGTTAATATGGTCTGAGCTTCCTTTTTCTTTTTACGCAAAAGATTTAGGATTTCCTGAAGTTTCTCCTGCAAATAGAAATGCTCTGTGGCAAAAGAGCACAGTGCCAGGCCGTGGAGCATTCGTAAAGACCCACAGCTACAATGACCAGGACTCAGAAACAAGGGGTGTAAGCAGATCCATGCAAGTGTGTGGTGCTGTACCTCGAGGTGAGTCCCCACGACTGTCACTGACAGAGAGGATTACGGGAGTTAAGAGGGAACCCAATTTCGGTTCTGAATTGTTTGGGTGTTTTTTAAGAGAGATTTTTGCTATAGAGTGTGTATGTTCACCAGAGAGACAGAGACAGAGCTACAGAAAGCAAGAAATCACCCCCCTAGAAAAGATGACTACAATGCAATCCCTTCTCCTCCATATTCCTCTTACATCTTGGGCATGCACACACACATGCCTGGCGTGAATTCTAAGCCACCAGGTTCGGGATTTGAACTGTGATAGACTACATGGGAGTCCAACAATATAACCATTATGCCATCTGCTGGTCCCCTGAGTTTATTCATTTTTTAATTTTCTCCATTAATGGGAGAGAGACAGAGAGAGAGCACCCAGCAGGGTCTCCATGCCACAATCCACACCCAACCTCAGCCAGTCCCAGATCATGGGCACAGGCATGTGCCCTAGACACTCAGAGAAGTCCCCAGAGATGAACCCAGCAACTTCCCACATGGGTCAGCCTCACAGTGCTTGGCATTTTACCACAGCACCACTGTCTAGTCCCCCATTCTGTGATTTATGTCAAGCAATCTTACTTTGTGATGCTCCTCAGTCTCACTTGAGAGATATACCCTGCTTACTCCATGACTTTGGCTTGAGAAAGCGATCATGCCCTGCTCGTCATCAAACACCTTAGTGGCTGCTGGCATCCTCCCATAACTGCCTTGTTCATCCTCACTCTGCTGCACCTGGCATCGGAGTTGTCTGCCAATGCTAGCCAGCCTCCCCAAACGCTCATTGGGCTGAAAATGAGGGACCTCCAAGGTCCTCCAGCACTCAGGACAAGAAAAAGGTGTGTTATGTTCCTCCCAGCTCCTAAGGAGGCACGCCAGGCAAAAACTGTGTCCACACTCAGTGGTCACTGGGCTGGTGAAATAGTCCAAGCAAATGAAACAGGTGAGCTCTTCCCTGAGATTTTCCATCAGATCTGCTGTCGACATTTTCTCTAGAATGGATAGCAAACTAAGGTTATGTCTCTATACTGGGGTTAGCAACGTCCTCCCTACCATTCTATTGTTTTGAGTAACAAGAGGGTGACCACTTGCTATGTTCTTATTATAAGAAATCCTTACTCTCTTCTGTGCCCGGTATCATCCATTGACACAGCCTCTCCCAACACAAAGCCAATTGTGACTTAATGTGGAACTCCTGCACACTGAGTTCATCATTGGCCCCAAACTTTTATTGAATCTCTCCCTAGGGATGTTACACACTCGATACTGAGGGTGTTTGTTCCCCATAGAGCTACCATTTTGAGAACTGGTTATTGTACACGAACAGCTCCTTAAAACACATCAATTCTAGGCTAGAAGTCTGGGTAATTTGGTCTAAACCAGCACAAAGACTTGAATTACAATGATCTCTAATAGTATCTGATTTTCCAAATCTTTTGAGAAACTTCGCTGATGGAACCTAGTTGAAAACCAAAAGAAGGGGGACTGGTAGGTGGCGTGGCGGCTAAAGGCGCTGGACTCCCACATGGCTGACCACGGTTTGATTCCCAGACCTGGTGGCTTGCTTTCTCACTTTCCCTGTCTCTCTCTCTCTGTCCCTCTCTGGTCAAACTTAAATAAATAAGTAAATAAAGTGAAATGAAATAATTCTAAAAAAAAAGAAGGAAGCTATAATATATATTCCAGTCTTCCTTCATTAGGCCTTTTTCTTTCCTTAACCAAAGCCTCATCTTTCTCCTCTTTTATGCCCTGTGTACTTTAATTATATTCATTCCAACAAAATGAAAATAATTCCATTGAGTGATTCCCTGCCTTTAATGTACACTAAGTTACCGGAGTTGTATTTAGCATTCCTCCCAACAGACTATGGTAAGTCACTCACTGCCATCATGAAAGCATCTAAAATAATGTTCTTGGTGAAGGTTGCCTAAAGGGGCCATTACACAGTGGAGTGAAAGGGAAGGGTTATATTTCAGCATAAATATAGTTTTCTCACTTATTTCTATTCTTAGAAATTGCCCATTCATGGGACCAGCAGGTGGCATAATGGTTACGTCGCTGGACTCCCATGTGGTCGACCACAGTTCGAGTCCTAGACTAGGTGGCTTCAAACTCATGCCGGGCATGTGTGCATGTGTGCCCAAAATCCTAAGAGGAGAATGGAAGAGAAAGGATTGTGGTATAGCCATCCTCCAGGGAGGTGATTTCTTGCTTTCTGTCTCTCTGTCTCTCTCTCTATCTCTGGTGAGCGCTCACCACCTTACAGCAAATTCTTTCTCTAGAAAAAGAAAATGTCCACTGTCCATACTTCTTACATCCCTTATTCTTCATCAGTTCTTGTGGGACAGAAACTAAATGGCAGACATTTATACCTATAAAAAAAAAAAAATATGTAGTGTGGAGGTAGTGTTCAATGACTACTGATATTAGCCTGTAAATGCTGTAAAAGCATGATATAATGTACTCACACGTCAGTTTTTATCATGGCCCTCCTTCTACTTACTGTATTTAAGAAAGTACAATTTTCTTTTGAATTTTGCTAAAGACCATGTGCACTTTCCAAAGAAAGAAAAAGAGAGACAGAGACAAAACTTGAGAAAGCGCCCTCCAATGAGAATGGTCACATCTCAATCACATCTCCATTCCTCCTTCCAGGATTTTGGGCATGCACACACACTCCCCAGCACGTTGTTCAAGCCTCCAGGTACAGAACTCAAACTGTGTAGTCAGCCACCTGCGATCCAGCCATCTTAACCACCACACCACTGGTGGCCTGAAAAGTAAAATCTTGAAAGCTCTTGCTCAGAGTCTAGCATCAGTTTGACCCTCCCTCTAAGTTCATCACATCATTTTTCTATTTTATTTATTTATTTATTTATTTATTTATTTATTTATTTTTTGGAGAGGTCTTTGCTATAGGGCACGTACGCTCATCAGAAAGACAGAGACAGGGAGATAGAAAGCGAGAAATCACCCCCCAGCGGGGATGGCCACGCCGCAATCCCTTCTCTTCCATTCTCCTCTCAGGATCTTGGGCACGCACGCACACGCACCCAGTGTGAGTTTAAGCCACTGGGTCCAGGACTTGAACCACCGTCGGCTACATGGGAGTTCATCGACATAGCCATTACACTAAGTGCTGGTCCCTCATTTTTCTATTTTCATCTTTTCACTCTCCAGATTGGCAACCTTCCATGGGTCTCCATTACCCAAGTTATTCCATTAACGTATTTAGGTCTCCAACTGACTCATCTTTCACACTGACTCCAAAGGACGTTAGGTATTTTCTTATCTCAAACATTGGGAATAAGAAAGTTTCTGACCTGAAATGGTCCGTCTTCACCCTTCTTCCTCCTTATTAAAACTCACTTTTCTGAAGTCAGTAAGTCAAAACCCTTAATCATATATCTTTTGTCTAGTTTATGTGAATTCCCGGGATGTAAATTTAAGATAAGAAAAAGAAAAACATCAAACCAAAGAATTATATTACTTTAGGAAGAGAGAAGCTATTCATTTGGGATCGTGAAAACTACTGCTTAGACTGCTTCTAGGCTAACTGAACACAGCTTAAAAATATTGTTAGGAGATATTCTTAAGGGTTTTGCCAAAAAAGAGAAAGAAAAGAAAAATCTACCATAATACTAATAGCCACCACAGTGTTAATCCAACACAAACCCAATGGGGTCTTTAACGTTGATCAGTATCATTAGAATGAGCCATAAATAGACCACGATACCTCACAAAGTTAGGGTTCCAACTTAGAATGGGGAGACTAGCATGCTCTATATTCAGGTCACACTGATCTATTCCATCCCACTTCCCTCTTTCAAACAAACTCCTTTCTTTATAAGCTTTATCACACAATAACTATGTCTTAATCATCTGCAACTAGAATTCTTTGCACAAGAGCACCACTTATTTGTAAATAAGTTTTAAGTAAACAAATAGAGGGGCCATATATCAAAGAATCATAGAATCAGGTCTAGTTGGAAGTCAAGAAATCATATAATCCAACTACCTTCTACTGATGATGAATAAAACTGAGGCTCAAATAAATTGAGTTGGTCTCCTGAATATTTGCTTGCTACATAGGTCCAATCAGAAGCAGGAACAAGGATCTCCTACCTCCCAGTCATTCTCTTTTGTCAACACACTACACTGCGTCTCACTCATTGACTTGCCGGTGGATTAAAATGTCTGGTTATCTCAGTGAAATGAGTAGTGCTCTGGTGCTGTCAGAAGGTACTGGACAGCTGTCATTATGGCATGATGGCAGGACTGATGAAATCACTGGCTACGCTTGCTCTTGGGAAGGCAGACTTTTTTTAAGTTTATTTATGTATGTCTTCTGAAAAAGAGAAAGAAAGACACAAGCACCTCCTGGTGGGGGTGAGAGTGGGAGGTCTTCACACTTCAATCCCTGTCTGGCCTCAGCCAGCCAGGACATGCACCACCTGCATGCACCCAGTATGCAGAGGGAGGCCTCAGGATATGAATGGGACACCCCATGTGGCTTCAGCATCGTGGATCCTTGACTTGCTGCTGCTATGCCACTGTAGCTGGCCAGAAATGAAAATCTTTCCTTTTTTTAATCATCTCTCTCAATGTATTGATTAGACTTAATTTATAGATGAATAAATTCATAGAGTAAGCTAGCCTTTCCAAAACCCATTACATTAACCCTTAAAGCACTGTACTGCTAGAGTAATTTCTGAGACCAACTCAAGTAGCACTTTCTCTAGCCTGTCTCCTCCTGGAAGGTGATGGTAGGATACCCCAAGAGGTTCGCAGTTAGAACTGTCATCCAGATGCATTTCGAGTTGGAGGATAAAGAACCTTAAAGATAGTTAGGACTTTTTTAATTCATGGACACAGTGAGCTAGATTAAGACGATTCTTAAAATATCTTGCTTTACAAGCACTTTTGTTGTTGTTTTTGGTTTTGTGTGTGTGTGTGTGTGTGTGTGTGTGTGTGTGTGTGTTTCTTTTGTTGACAGGTTTTTGCTATAGGGTGCGTGTACTCGCCAGAAAGAGAAACAGAAAGTGAGAAATCACCCTCCAGGGAAGATGGCCACACTGCAATCCCTTCTCCTCCATTATCCTCTTAGGATCTTGGGCACGCATGCACATGTGCCCAGCGTGAGTTTAAGCCACGGGGTCCAGGACTCGAACCGCAGTCGACTCTGTGGGAGTCCAGCAACATAGCCATTACCCAACTGCTGGTCCTGCATTTTTGCTGTTGTTTCTGTTCTTTTTTCCTTCTTTGCTAGAGGGTACGCATGCTTGCTGAAGAAAGACAGAGCGAGAAAGACTGAGAGAGGAAAAAAGACCCACCTATGAGAAATAATCATGTTTCAATTTATTTTTCTCCATTCCTCCCTCCTTTCAGGATTTTGGGCAGACATGCACACACACACACACACACACACACACACACATGCTCAGGACTCAAACCAAGTAATCAGTCCTATAGGACAGAGCTGCCTTGAACACCAGGCCTCTGAGCTGGCCCCAAAGCCTGGTTTTAAAACTGTATCTGGCATTTCATATCGATGTGGAATGGCATATTATCCAGCAAATTATTTAGGACAGGTGACGGTAGCTATACCTAACTACTCACATCAATGTGTATTCCAGATGGATATATGTGTTCGAGTCTGGCTACTTTAGCCATTCTAATTATGAATTTCTATCCATATTTTTCCTTTCATATTGCTTTTTTTCACCTTATACATTTCTACAATTTTATTTGTATGAGGTTGTTCTAGAATAGCCCATATCTCTTTAGCAAGTAGGGAATGTATTTATAAAGCATACGATCCAAGCAAGGAACACATCCTAACAGGAAATAATTTGTAACATAGTAGAAATGTAAAATGGACTTCTTAGGGAAGGCTTTCTAAGGGAAGATTAATATATGTAAATAACCATAAATACAGGTTCCCACACAGCAAGAAAAATAACCAGATAATTTTTAAATAACAATCTAGAAAAAAATATTTGCAACATATATCAAATGTATTGTCTTCAATTATGAAAAAAATCTTACATAAAGATATACTTAAAAATCATGGTTCTTGAGACCAGTAGATGGACTAAAGGTTACGTCATTGGATTCCCATGTAATTG